GGTTTTTTTTTTTTTTACTTACTGTGCATAGGTATTATTATTTTTTTTTTCCTTTCCTTTTTCTAATCAATAGAAAAAAATTTCAATTTCAGTTTCATATTAGTACTAATTTAAATTAAATTTAAACTTCCTACCACCCACATTTCAGCTCCAAGATCTTTATTTATTTTTCACCACGTTTATATCAACTTGCCTTCGTGTATGTCTGTTCGGGTGGAATTTTGTAATCGATTTTAAACTAAATTCCCGACTAACTACAGACTTCAAATTTGGCACATAGTTCAGAATTGGATGACAATGCATGAAAATGAAGAGAAAAAAGACATACAAAGTGAAATAAAATTTAAATTAAGGAAAAATTATTATTTTCGCGATTGTTTTTTGTTGTCGATTCGATTATTTCAAATTAGTGTCACATGTCAGTTGAAAAGTTTTGCGTACAGTGAGTGAAAAAATTGAGATTTTGGAAGTGAGTACAAAAAAAAATGAAAATAATATTTTTAAAAACGACGTTTTTGTAGTGGAGAATAATAATTTAAAAAAAATAATTTGAAAAACGAAAAACGTGGGGCTCATAAAATACATAGCACTACATATACACATGCGCATTTTCTTACTCATACACATGCAGAACCACATACACATGTGTATACACAAACATATTTCACATCCACATTCAGATACAATTACAGATATACATTCACATATTCTCATGAGCACACACACTGTTTCTGTTATGTATTTCATGCGCCCCACGTTTTTTGTTTTTCAAATTTTCGTTTTTTAATTATTATTCTCCACTGCAAAAACGTGGTTTTTAAAAATATTATTTTTATTTCGATTTTTTTTATAATTAATCAAGTGAATCTGAAGAATGTTTTTTCCTTTGTCCTTCTTGCTTTTTTTTCTTTGTTGTTTGTTAAATTTTTATGGTAAAAATCAAGCTTATAATTAAATCATCGTAATTATAATTGTTAAAAACTTAAAAAAAGAAAAATTTAAAAATATATATATGTTTTAATTGCAGAGTGAGAAATTAACTTTTTCATCCCCTCCCTTCACAAATATATAGGTTATAATTTTAAGCAATCTTTATTGGTAACAGTGGCGTAGCTACCAAGGGGCTAGGCGGGGCAGTGCCCCGGGGCCCTCAAGCTCAGGGGGCCCTCGAATCCTCAACAGAAATCTCGATCGAACTGAACTTTTGGAAATTTCTCCCATTTTCAAAATAAATATGACAGGTTGCAACCCCACTTTAATCATGACAACTCAGTTGAGAGAAATTCAAAAGTTATGCCTATGGAATTCCCCTAAATTCTTTCTGTAGGTTGGCAATGTTGTCAATTTGGCGGATATGATGTGTGCGTTTTATTATTCATCGATGTGCGTTTTATTGTGAATTCGAGTTAAGATTTTTTTTTCGAGAACGGTTAAAAAATTANATTTACGTCGCACTAGAGCTGCACAATGGGCTATTGGCGACGGTCTGGGAAACATCCCGGAGGATGATCCGAAGACATGCCATCACAATTTTGATCCTCTGCGGAGGGGAAGGCACCCCCGCTTCGGTAGCCCGACGACCTGAACGCGAAGTCGAGCACTTTACGGTAGCACAGTTCAGCGAGGACCAATACCGCACACCCTCGGCCCCTACGCAGACTGATCCAAGTGGTCACCCACCCGCACACTGACCGTAGCCAGTGATGCTTGACTTCGGTGATCTGCTGGGAACCACTACATGAACCTTTTGAGAAATTTTTTCGAATGAGAGCGAAATAAAAATGGCAACAATAACTGCAAGCCGAAATTTCTTATATTTCATTAGCACCTGAAACCACATCAACGATTTTTAGATATTATATGTATGTTTAAATTAATTCGACATATGATCATGAACATTTTAAATCAAATTGATTGAATATGATAAAACTGGAAAATTTTTAATTACTTAATTAAGATTCGTTAATCAATTCATCTGAAAACACAAGCAGGCGCTGACATACATTAAGAAAGATATGGTCGCTGTTATGACGATAATTTCTAAAATACAGGAAATTCCGTCATGGCCTCTCCTAAATTTACATTTTTAGAATCCTTCTAAAAAATAAAGTTTCGTAAATTGCACGTAAAATTCCGGAAATTCATATTGAAATTAGAAAAAAAAAATTTTTTTTTTGATCTAATCATTATTGAGCTTTAGAATTTTTTCAATAGCAAGGTGGTAGTAAATAATTAATAATCAATTCATACATTTAGGTGGTTCTTCGTGCAAAACGAACTCATTATAATCCCACTTGACAAATAAACTAGTCTTTGATGATTTTAATCTCTCCTTTGCTCTCCTCGAACACATTAAAGATTGTTTGGAATTTGAAAACATTTTTGCATTTTTTCTCCTCACAAACTTGAATATTAATTTCCGACCCTTAGGGTTCAGAAGTGAATAATTAAATCTGCAGCTTTTTTTTTTTTTTTTTTACTTAATGTGCATAGTATTTTTTTTTTCTTTCCTTTTTTGAGGATTCTAAAAATGTATAAATGCTTGATTTACTATGAATAGAAAAAAAAAAAAGAATAACAAAAATCATTTTATTGCAATTTTACTTTCATATTAGTACTAATTTAAATTAAATTTAAACTTCCTACCACCCACATTTGAGCTCCAAGATCTTCTTTATTTATTTTTACCACGTTTATATCAACTTGCCTTCGTGTATGTCTGTTCGGGTGGAATTTTGTTATCGATTGTAAACTAACTTCCCGACCGACTAGCTACAGACTTCAAATTTGGCACATAGTTCAGAATTGGATGACAATGCATGAAAATGAAGAGAAAAAAAACATATGAAGTAAAATAAAATTAAAATTAAAGAAAAATTATTATTTTCGCGATTGTCTCTTTATGTCGATTCGATTATTTCAAATTAGTGTCACATGTCAGTTGAAAAGTTTTGTGTACAGTGAGTGAAAAAATTGAGATTTTGGAAGTGAGTACAAAAAAATAAAAATAAAAATAATATTTTCAAAAACCACTTTTTTTGTAGTGGAGAATAATAATTAAAAAACAAAAATTTTAAAAACGAAAAACGTGGGGCGCATGTAATACATAGCAGTACATACACATTTTCTTACTCATACACATGCACAACCACGTATACATTCACATACACATGTGTATACACAAACATATTCCACATACACATTCACATTCAGATACAATTACAGATATACATACACATTTCTCATGAGCACACATACTGTTATGTATTTCATGCGCCCCACGTTTTTCGTTCTTCAAATTTTTGTTTTTTAATTATTATTCCTCACTACAAAAACGCGTGGTTTTTAAAAATATTATTTTTATTTTTATTTTTTTTATAATTAATCAAGTAAATCTAAAGAATGCTTTTTCCTTTGTCCTTGCTTTTTTTCTTTGTTGTTTGTTAAATGTTTATGGTGAAAATCAAGCTTATAATTAAATCATCGTGATTATAATTGTTAAAAACTTTTAAAAAAAAATATTAAAAATATTCTATATGTTTTAATTGCAGAGTGAAAAGTTAAATTTTTCATCCCCTCCCTTCACAAGTATATAGGTTATAATTTTAAGCAATCTTTATTGGTATATAAATAAAAATTATAAGACGCTAAATCAAGCAATATATAAATAAGAAAAAAAAATCACAGCTTCTTATATGTTAATCGAACTAATAAAACAAAATATGGTATACTCCAGTCCATGCAAAAATTATTTACTTTGGCGTATCTTTGCTTAAAAAATACTAAATCGATTTCCTGTTTTTTATTTTCACATTTTTAGTAAACTTCTTTACTTAAAAAAAAATTTTTTTTAACGGTAAATTTATTAAATTCTAAAAGCTAAAATGTACAATACAACGAAAGAACAGAAACAATGAAAGATTTTTAAAATCTATTCAGTATTATCTAAGCTGGCCATTTTAAAGGATAAAACATCTAACTCCTTTAAAGTCTTATTGCTTTTAAAAAAAATAAAGAAAAATATATCGATAGATATCGCAAGATAAAAAAAAATCATCAATTTAATAATTAAAAAAAAAGTTTTTTATAAATTTTTTCTTATATCCATCAATTAAATTAATTAAAATTTTATAAATGATATAATGCAACAAACAAAATACAAGAAATGTAAGAGCTTTTACACTATTCCATACACGACACAAATAAAGCATCATACATTGCTACAAAAATAGTAATAAATCATAACATTTCACTTCGGCCTCAGTCGATGTATTTCAGTTATTCATCAGTTAAAAATTATTATTATAAAGAAAAATTCCAGATTGTCTCCTATTACCCATTGTGCAACTCTAGTCCGACGTAAATAAAAAGTACCGTATAAAGATAAATTATAAAATAGAAAATAAAATAATTAAAATAATAATAAAATAATTAAAATTAAATAAAAATAAATTAAAATTTAATAAAATTAATTAAATTTTTAATATAAATAAATTTAAATTTAATAAAATGATTTAATAAAATGGTTAAAATTAAATTTCTAATATAAATAAATTAAAATGTAATAAAATGATTTAATAAAATAGTTAAAATTAAATCAATAATAAAAATTAAAAATAATTGAAAGAAAAGCTTTTGATACATCTTTCCAAAAAATACATATCTATCAATTAAATTAATTGAAAATTTATTAATGATTCAAAAGAATAAAACAAAATACAGGGAATGTAGAAGCTTTTACTTTATTCCCTACATGTCATCATCATTTATTACTATAAAAATAATAATAAATCATAAGATTTCATTTTGGATACTTTCGATGGATTTCAGTTATTCATAATAAAGAAAAATTTTGAAATTATTTAATGAACAAATGAAAAAAAAAATCTTTTAAGAAATAGAGCTTAAACAACTCAAATGTTTTAATCGATTCAACAGAATGTAAACATTGATCACGAGGGCATAACTGTCAGATCATGTAATGCCGAGAAGTTAGCACTATGATTCTCAGTTTCAGACAGATGTCAAAAGCAGCATTGCATAGCAACCTTGGATGCCGTTATATTATTAGGGCTAGTAGTCATATGCTTTCATCCTTTTTCCTCCAATCCTTAACCAGAGTTTGACACACGTGACTCGAATCAACCAATAGTGCAACTCCAGTTTCAAATGGCTCTGTCTCTTTGTCCTGAAAATTAGGAGATGTAAACTTTGATATTTTTTCGTCTATTTAATAATCAATTGTAATTTTTTTAATAAATTTATTTTTAAGACATCGCTTAACATGCACTTGATACTATTGAAGTGATTCATTTTAAAATCCAGGTAAGTTTTTCTTTATTATCACGTGCTTTAATGTCACTGACCAACCACAGTCTCGTACTAAATTTTTAAAATTAAAACATAAATATAACATCGTGTTGACAGTAATGAAAAATCATATGCTACAACCACTTTAGGTTTCTCGGTTCATCTGCTAGGTATGTATTATTCCTTAATTTCGTTTGAAATATAGTTACTATTATTTTAAATTATAGCACCCCTGTGAAAATGGTTGAAAATGAATTAGTCGAAATTGACAGATAGTCCCTTATACAGAAAAATAATATATTTTATCACATTGAGAGTAGGTTTTAAAAGTTGAACTTAACTTCGTTATTTGAATTTAACTTCTGTATTCATGTTCTTTTTTAATCAATATTTTTACTGGGGACAATTTATGTAAATAACATTCATTATTTACTATTTTTTAAGTGTATGGTGACAGATATTTTGTTTCGTTTCTAATATTGATATTATATATTTTTTAAATTGTTGGTTTTACATTTAACTGCATTGTTAGTTTTACTATAAACTGCATTTATGGTCTCATTTAAACCTAGAACATAATAATTATTTCATCTATGGTGTTGGCAGAAAAGTAATTATGATTGGCACAAATATTGGTTTCTGCGATCGTTTAAAGATTTAAATAGTGGTTCCAACGTTATTTCTTATTTGTTTTTACGAAAGTACTTATCCACTATTATGAATAATTCAAACAATACTTAATTAGCTTTTAATTACAATGTGTAATTAATTTTTAATTATAATGCTTTGTTTTAACAAAGTTTCAATTATTTGTGTGTACATTTTTATCATTGAATTTATGTTCCTTTATATTTTTGTGGTATGGTTAGTTATCATATTAAAACTGTTTATCGTATTTAAAGCTCTGTTCAAATGTTTTCTTTTTTTTTTAATCATAAAATGTTTAAAGTTTTTCTACAGTATTTGTCAGTTTTCTGTACATTCTATTATATCCAAACTGTTCCAGACTTTATTCCATTGAATTTAACAGTAATCAGTTATTTCTAAACAGTTTGCACATATTGTTTTAATATTAAACTGATATTAACATTGCGGCATCAAGTGTCTTTATAAATGTGGTTTTTTTCTTGGTTCAAGACTTAATCGTTCGTAAAAAGTAATTAAAAGAGTTTTTGAAAAGTTGATAGTTAAATATTTGCTTGTAAACAACATTGCTTGTAAACAACATTTGCTTGTAAACAACTTGTATCAATAGTTAATTGAATTGCTTGCTTTTGGTGATATCACATCTTATAAGCTTTTCTATTTGCTTTTCTGGCATAGTTAATCTCCGAACGTCATATACTTTGATTTTTTAAAAATAGTTGTAAACTTGGTAAAAATGCTGTGTTATTACTAGCAATTTGAGTTTTCATTAATTAAAAAGAAATTGCTTGAAAGACATAGGAATTTGATAATGAGAGTTAATATGACTTATATGCTGTATATTTTGAATGAAGACTTTTAAAGCATTGATGAAAGTCAAACTAATTAATACATACATCACTAGGTTTTGTTGATTTTTGTATGATCAGTATAATATATATTTTACCAACATATGGTATAAAAATATAGTAATATTATAGAAATTCTTTAATAAATTAAGTACCTTTATCTGTAGTTAAAAACAAACATATTAAATTTTCATTATGCTGTTTATTTTGATAATAGGTTAGTTGAATTAACATAAACTTTTAAGCTGTTAAAAATACACAAACTGACTCCAACTGCATATTTTTGATTGGCAATTTAACAATGTTCACAATAAATATCCAAAACTGTTATTTTCTATTTTCCTTTTCATGAAGTTTTTTTGTTTTATTTATTCTTTGCTTTTTGCTATAGTAAGAATAATTGTTTCTCTTTTATATTGTAATATTTTTATGATGTATTTAACCTTAAAAAATTATAGCTTGAATAAAAATTTAGTATTATGAATAAGTTACTAAAAACTTGCTAATTGACTACAATAAAACTTCTAAATAATTTAAGTAGGACGCATCTTTGATTATATAAAAACTTAATTTGCTTTAAAAAAAAATTCTGAAGGTGATATTAAAATTGATGTAATGTTGAGTTTAAGTGAAAATTCCATTCGCAAGGCGAGCCAAATGTGAATTCCAGATTCGTCAGGCGTTCTTCACATCTAGTGAGTTTTAAGATTGAGTGCCTATTTTTTATGCAAATTAAGTTTTTATATTAACAAATATATCTTTCTGCTTCAGTTTCATCGGATTATTCATTTAATTTAAACCTAAATAAAAATTTAATTATTGATCTAATGATGCATATTCCATCTAATGACTAACTTAAAAAAAATATGTAAATGTTTGCCGTCTGGGAGGGGCTATAAATTTCATAGTTACTCTCCTTTTTCTTTCTGTTGTATTGTTTTTTCAATTTCTTGCTTGTCTCTGCCTGGAAGTCTCCAAAATGTGGCAATAATTTTCTCGCAGGTACCAATATGGAAATCTTCCAGGTTTATATTGTTAATGAAATTTTAATGTTTATAAAAATTTGAAAAGTTAATGCAGTTGCATTGTGAACTTATTATTACTTATTTCTATTAACTTATTATTTTAATTAAAGTTCTTTGTATATTTCTAACCATTTCATAATATATGTTTATATAATAATAAATTTCAATAAACTAATAATTATTTTAATATCACATCAGCTAACAAAAGCTGAATCAGAGGTCATTAAAATCTTAAATTTTTGCTGATTATTTAAACATTTATTATTTATTTTTTAAATAATAAAAAAAAATTTATTCAATATAAAAATATTTATTTACAAGTGTAAAATGGCTGTGAATCTAGTTTCGATAGTAATCAATTTTTTAATGTTGATATTTTTTTTAAAATTCATACTTATATTATCAACAGTGAAAAAATTAAATTATGAGAACTCTTTGCTTTTTTTTTAAATTTTTTCTCAAAAACCCCTTGGTAGTTTTGAAATTTTTCAGTTTAAAACTGCTTTTATATCCAACTGTGATTAATAGTGTACTAGTGCTTTTTATTTAATATTTTTCAGACTATTATATTTAGATTATTAATAATAAAGAAAATTAAATAATGAGTACACCATGCTTTATTTTCTTTTTAACATTACACCTTATAGAATTTTAATTTTTTCAGTTGAAGATGACGTTCTTTGACGAGACCTTTAGCCTGAGGGAAATGATAGATTCCGATATCAGGCATTACAAAGCAGAAACTGGAGAAGGGGACATATCAAGCCTTGGTGCTTCCCATTTAGATTCTACCACTTCCCATTCTCACCACCTAAACTCTATTATAGATTCCGACCTGTCCGACGATGGGGGAACTGGTTGGATGGATAGTTCACAAATTTTCAATACCAGTGCCGAAATAGACGAACTATCATGTGTCGATCCCCAAACTGTTCTTCCAGTTTCTATACCTGTTTCTATACCCTTATCTTCCAATGACAGTTCTAATATGTTAACAAGTAACAATACTTTGACAATTTCCACTTCCGGAAGTATAGCTGTGACACTACCAATTCAGGTGATCACCTCCAATTCTGACATGACAGATGCCAATTTGATCTCATCAATGCCAACTCCGTCCCCAAGTCCGCACAACATGACTTCACAACAGCTATTTTCTGAACACGATACCGATACGAGTCAAGACAGTGATAGTCCTAAACCAAAATTCAAAAATAAAAACGTCAAATCTAATCAACAGCACAGTGTGGTCGAAAATGCTTATCCTAAGCCAGCATATTCCTACAGCTGCTTAATAGCGATGGCACTTAAGAATAGCAAAACTGGAAGTCTTCCTGTCAATGAAATTTACGATTTCATGACGTAAGTTATGCTACTATATCTATAGTTTTTCAAAAATTCAATTGTTTTACTCATTATTTTGTGTTTTTGTTAAATTTATAAAAAAATAACTAAGAACACGCATAAGTTTCTTTAATACTGTTATAAGTTTCTTTTTTAATGTGATGTCTTTTTTATTTGTCTCATAAAATCTTAATTTTTCTCTACTTTGCAAGTGTGATTTTTAAATTTCTCGTTCTAATCATGGAGATGATTGTGCTCCGGAAAAAACTGGTTTTTCTCTAACCGTGATTCGGAAGTTTCCAGAAATCCAAGGTCCAGAAGTTTTAGGCAATCATCGAACACATTTATGTGTAATATTTCTTGTATATTTTGTTTAAAAATATTAGAACTAGAATTTATACTTGGCATCTCTTTCATTTGTAAATAATTTTTCTGATAGAATAATAAATGTGTTAAGAGATAAAAGTAAACTTATACATAATTATTCATTTAAATTATGCTGCATAGAAGTTATTTAGAACTTCAAGTTTTGAAAATATTGATTTAAATTTATAAAGACATTAATTTTTTGAAATGCGTCGTTAATGATTTTGCTCAAGAAATTTTCAGGATTTCAAGTTGGGCTCACAATCTGTTTTTTTTTTTTTTCTTCCCCTTAATTCATTTAAACTATATTTGCATTTTTGGAATAATTTTTTATTTACACAAGTATTTTTTGCCATTTTAGAAGTGTTTAAATATTTTAGCTTGTGAAAAATATTATACTACTAGTTATGTTAAACCTGTCTTACTTATTTGTTTGGAATTTTTGTTCTAAGTTTTATTTAGTGCTTTTGCTTGTTTCAATTATCTGGAACAACTTTATTTTCTACCTGTGAAGTTTTTAATATGTCTTGGAAGAAAAAAACATTTTTTCCCATGGGTTTTTGCTACCTATAAAAAAGTTTTTCTCCTATAGTTTTTACTGTTTTTGTAAAAAGAACATTTTAAGAAAAAAAAATAGTTTATATTTAAAGCAATATTGAAACAAGAAATTTGAACATAGTTTAAATATTCTTGTAAAGATTGATTATAATTATAATCATTTTAAAGACTAATGTTCTAAAAATTTTGTACTTCTGATAAAAATATTTCTCTTTAAACCTTTTTCTGTCATAGAAGTGTTATGGATTCTCTATTATACAGTGAATACTCATTTTAATGCTGTATGGCATATTTTCCTGATCATTGCCAAAATGCAAATATTAAGTTTACAAAAATTGTATTTTTATAACAATTTATTGAAAAAAGTAATTTTGATTTACATTTTTTAAAAGCCCTTAAAGGTGCTTTTTTTTATTCGAGATTTGTAAAAAGTGCTTAATTTTCTATCTTTTAAAAGAGATTTTTTCTTTGCTCTGTCGATTGTCATTCTAAATTACAAGATATGCACTATTTTCAAAATTTTCTCTAATATTTATCAGAAACCAGTTATTTTATCATCATGTGAAGTTTGTGAAAAGGTTTTTGAATTTTATTGACTTTACGTTCATAAATTAAGAACTTTAAACAAAAGAAAAAATAATTTTTATTACAGCACAGATCCTAATTATGATTTTTATTTTAAAAAGTGATTAAAATATTTTTTAAGTTCTTAAAGAGTACTTAAAAGGTGCTTATTTTTTGTTGAAAATCTGGCTTCACATCCTTAGAAACTATTCTCATCAAGTTAAGTATGTTAAACTATTATAGTGTGGTTATTACATTATGAGTTATTTAGCACTCTATTATAAAAATAGACTTATTATAAATTTATGCTTAAATTTTCTTTATACTATAAGGTCACTCTTAAATTGAAAAAAGAATTATTGAATTTTCAGAATAAAATTTTAGTTTATCAGTTTTGCATGTCCAGGAAAATTAAATGTCACCTTAAGCTGACTATAAATTTTAACTTTTCATAAGGCTGTTTAGTTTTGTAAATTATAACTTCTTAGTTTTTTCTTATTACTGTATTTTTTAAGAGTATTCTTCCCCAAAATTGTCCCGATTTTCTTTTTGGTTCACTATGAAGCCTGTTTTGACATTAAGTTTATCATGTATTGATGAATAAAATTAATTTTTGTCCAAAATACATTTGTGTGCTAATATATTTTCAATTGTCTGGTCTTGTGACTTTATAATAACGAAAACTTTGGACTTTGGATGTAACATTTTTATCGTAGTTTTTTTTTAAATATTTATATTTGTTATTCTCATAAGTTTAAAAATCTTTATACTTAAAAAAATATTTTTTATATTTGTATTTTCATTTTAGCAGAGATAATTTTTAAAAAATTTGATCTTAAAAGTACACATACAAAGGGAAATAAGTGAAATAATCTAATTTTATTAAATGATTGTAAAAGCAAATTTGATAGGGAAGATCACTCAGTATTTTACAGTGCCATTATCTATCTCACTACTGTATATTGTTAGATGTTCCAATAAATCTTTTCAAGTAAAAAAGAAATTTTTTTTTAAAGAAAATTTTTGGAAATTTATGAAATTTTTTTATCTTTCTGGTTATTTTGATATTTTCTTTATGTATATGCTGTTGTAATAAAGTTAAGGTTTACAATGAAATAAAATAGCATAAAAAATTATCATTATTATTTTAATATTTAATTTTATAGTTTTTGATTCATATTGAAAACCTTATGCCTAATTTCTTTAGTTTTTAATAGTGAGAAAATTAGCCTCTCCTTATTATGAAAAAAATTAGTTTTAAAACTACAGAGGTGAATCCAATAGTTAGTTTCCACTATTCACTTGTTTATTACTATTCTTTCTTGCTGCAAGCAGTGCATTTGGTTAGTGTTAGTATTTAGAGTAGTGAGACAAAGTTTGTTTTTCAAATTATCATTTTAATTTAGAAGTTAGTACATTGTTGACAAGGTAATAAGTGATAACGATTAATAAGTAATAAAAATTCTAATATTAATTTAATATTTTTAACCTCTCAAACCTCATGTTTACTATCTTTTCACCATTTATGTTTATTATTAAATAACTACATGTACTATCTTCACTATTTAACTGTCGTTTCATTATTTATTGTAATGAACTAAATGACCTAAAAAATACTGTACTCAACCGAAAATATAAGCGATGAAAAGCCTGCAGCACTCCCTAGTGAAGAAAACACAATCATATATATTGTTGCAAATCATTTTCACATAGCTTAATTTTTATTTCAATAAAAATATTTTATTGTAGATATAGAGCATCATAAAAATGTAATAATTTACATATATTTAAATTATTAAAAAAACATTCTCACAAAAGTTGACTGTGATAAGGTTATGTTTTTGTTTCAATAAATTTGTCTTACCAAAGTAAAATAATTAAGGCAGGTTAATAGATAGTGATAAGAAAAATTTATGTGAATTTTAATTAAAGTATTTATTGAAGTACTGCTATTACTGTTATGTGTTAAAGATCTGTTATGTGTGTGGAAGATCTGTTATGTGTTGATTTGCAGAGCTTTGGATTAGAATCGTTTGCAATAATGTTCTAATAAACTTTGTTATTTTGATCAAAAGATGTCTTTTGTTTTTGACAATTCCAATTAAAGCAATGTTCATGTTTTCCTCTTATTTTTATGCACTTTTTAGATAATTATTTTTTTTAAAAAACAAATTTTCTTTTGCAGGGAAAATTTTCCATACTTTAAAACAGCTCCTAATGGGTGGAAAGTAAGTTTTTGTGCAATATATTGTATTTTAATTTTTCCTAGTTTTTACCAGTTTTTCTACTTTTAAAAATGCAGACCTTTAGAAGTCTTGAAGGTTTTCAAACTTTTCTATATAGCTGTGACATTTATAATTATAAGAAAGTGTTTAACTATTTTAAATGTATTTATTTTTCTCTTTAGGGTAAAGCATTCTTTATGTCAGATTTTTCTGTTTATGAAACTCTCAATAAATATCAAACTACAGTTGAACCTGTTTATCTTGAACATCTTTATTTCTAAGACCTCTATCTCAAAATTTCTGAAATTCCGTACATTTACTGTCTAAAATCTGTATTTTCCATGTTTATGTTGATTTTTTTTTCCTTAAAAACCTCAGTTTCTTGAACTTCTAATGATTGAGCCCTAATGCGAAAACTTTCTTTATCAGTAGAACTTGCAGACAGAGATGAATTTCGTGAACCCACAGGAAGTAGGGATGAACAGATTGGGGGTATTTCTTGGAATTCCCTGCACTTTAACTAGAAAGGAATACAATGATTCTGGCAGTAAGGGGTTGATGAGTAGGATGGAGTGACCACCAGGGGATAGCTTTTCAACATCGATAAGAAAACTAGGAATAGAAATTCATTTTCACCTCAAAATTGTGACTAATGGATAATTAGAAGTTTTAAAGTGAACAATAGAAAACAGTTGGTCCGCAAACTTGTTGATGCTATCAGAATGACTGTTATGCCGAGAGAAATGTCTCTAAAAACTATCCTGGCTTTAAGAATAGCTGTGAAGATGATGAACAAGAGGTTGAGGGCATCAGTAAAGAAGATAAAACTGTTGACGCTGAAAATGCAGGGCCAGATTTGTAAGAGTGGAATGCAATAAAATCTGGATTTAATATTGACATTATTTTTTAAGATTTTTACAAGTAGGCAACATGCGGAACATGAGCCGATGCGGAAATCATAGATAATGTCAAAGGAATATCAGATGAAGATAGGACTTTTAATAGAATTTCTTACTTAAATTAAATTTTTTTAAAGTGCCTGCATAAGTCGAAACATCTTTATCTCAATTTTTCCCTTTTCCCATGAGATTCAGGATAAACAGGTCCAACTGTATTAGTAAGATACTAAGATATTAAAAATTAAGTATTTTTTAAATCACTGATATTTTTCTTGTTCCCAAGCTTATATTTTTCAAACTTATACTTGACTTATATTTTTCTTGTTCCCAAAAAAGGAAAATAAATAAATGAAAATAAACTTTCCTACTGTACAAATGATTATGATTTTGTCGTAATCAAATGTAGTTGATAGAGTTAACTTTTGATTATTTAATAGTTTTTATTTCTATGAACTGCTGAAGGACAAAGTTTTTTATTTCCTTATTTTACAGAAAAAATGCAAAGTTTCGTAAAATCGTTTTATTGGAGTTAAAATTCTATTTCTAATATTGTTTCTTTTCTTAGCACAGTGTTTTTTATACTCTACAAAGAAGAGTTAATATTATGTTATTTTTTTTGTTCTAGTAATTTCAAATTTTCTTTCTTCTGCAGCTAAGTATGTTAGGTTTATTTAGTAGTTTCAGTTTAGTAGTGCAAGCATTGCACTACCTTGTATGAGTTGTAGTTTAGTAAATTGTGTTGATAGAAGTTTATTTAAATTTTTGTTCTAATAGATTTTGTAATTTATCTTCAAATATCCAACGAATAAAACTGTTTGCAGTTTTTTGTTTATGAACAATAATTATTTTATTAGTAGTTATGTAAAACGTGTGTTTAATCCTTATAATAATATGTGAAACATATAATGCCTAATATGTAAAACATATTAGGTAGATTTTGATATACATCCAACTTTTTAAAAAAAAAAAAATTTCGTTTTTTTTCTTTACAGAATTCTGTACGCCATAATCTCTCCCTCAATAAATGTTTTGAAAAAATTGAAAAACCTTCTGGAAACAGTGCACAAAGAAAGGGTTATCTTTGGGCTATGAATCCAGCAAAAATTGAAAAAATGGAAGAAGAGTTACAAAAATGGGGAAGTAAAGACCCTGCAGCTATTAGAAAAAGCATGGCTAATCCAGGTAACTCATTGGATTCTAACTTAGCAGTGAATTTATATATTCTTGAGAATTTTTTCTTCCTAATCTATTTCACAGAATTTTCAGTGCTAGTTTTTTTCTTTAAAAAATTGCATGAAATTTTATTGTTTTCCATTTTTAACTGATATTTGTTAGAATTTTAATAAAAGATATATATTTCCAATTTTTTGTTACATCTGAGGATATTGATTAATTAACCCAAAGTTTAATAGTTTCTACCAGGGAGCTGGAGATATAAATCCTTGCTAGCTCTAGAACAGCAGTTCCTAAATTTGTGTTCTTGGGAGCCTTAGGGTTTCGTAAAAAGATCACAGGGGTTCCATAAGTTATTTTGTAGCATTAATATATAATTACTTAAATATTTTAAACCATCCATTTTTATATTTGATAAAAAAAAAAAAAACTTTTGAAAAGAATTTTAAAAATTCTATTTTTTATATTTTGCAATATTGCTTATATATATGCTTATTTTATTCATATTTGAAAAATTATTTAGTAAGAAGATAAAAGAAAGACAAATTTATTCTAGCCTGTACTCCACACCTGTTCAATTCAAAACAAATAACATTAAAAAAGCTCAAATTATTGTTTAAAAAAATATTTTTCTTAATGTTGAAGCAAAAAAAAATTATTACATTAATTTAAGTAGGGTTATGTACATTTGTGTATTATGTATTAACATTTATAAGTCAAATGAAAAATAACAATTGATATAAGGGCAGATTTTAAGGTTTATTTTAAATAATTAAAAAAAAAAGAACACCCAGCTTTCATTAGGGGTTTTGAGTGAGAAAACGCGCCCAGGTTTTTTTGTGAGGCATATGGGCGGGTCAAAAACCCTGATTTGGAGAATAGTATTTGTAATCCACATATGAGGCATATTATTCCATTAGTATGTAAACATCAGGGCTCATTATGGTCATTAATAGTGATACATTGAGTTAACCAATTATAAAATTTTAATTGCTAGTTACCTCATCAAGTAACATGATAATTATTTTTTGCTTTCAGAGAGGTTGGAGTTGATTGAGAAAGGGGAACTGAGAAATGAAAGTGATCCTGAAGTTGAAGATATGAATATTTCCCAAGTTGCAGAAGAAGAAAAGTATACTCATGAAGAAAAAGAGAATGAGATGAAAGTGCAGAATATGGGCAATGAGATGCTTAATAATGATTTTCCAGCTCTTGGGGAATCTGTCAACATAGATGCCTGCATTGATTTAGATCTTCAGGTATAATTTGTTACATTTCAATATCAAGATATGTTATTTTCCTATTATAATTTCATCAGACCTTTCTTTAAGATACAGTGTTTATCACATGTTTCCAATTGTTGAGATTTAAATATATTAAAGCATATATTTTTGTTCGGAGAAAATGCTACCTATAAGTGCCGAAATATTAAATGCTACATTAAAATGTTTACAGCAATAATAAATATTTCTGCTCTTGCAAAAAAGTAGCTCTGTGACTAGAAAAAGGCATTTCTTCAATATATTTGAAATAAAATTTAAAATAGTTTTTCTAGTAATAATAAGAATTTTATTACAGCCAGTTATGAAAATTTTTATAACATCTCACCATTAAAGTTTTGTTTAATATTCATCCCATCCATTATATCTCAATTTTTTTTTAATATATANAAGCTTGAAAATGTATTTTCAACAAGATTTATTAAAATATTTGAAGCTTGAAAATGTATTTTCAACAAGATTTATTAAAATATTTGAAGCTTGAAAATGTATTTTCAACAAGATTTATTAAAATATTTGAAGCTTGAAAATGTATTTTCAACAAGATTTATTAAAATATTTGAAGCTTGAAAATGTATTTTCAACAAGATTTATTAAAATATTTGAAGCTTGAAAATGTATTTTCAACAAGATTTATTAAAATATTTGAAGCTTGAAAATGTATTTTCAACAAGATTTATTAAAATATTTGAAGCTTGAAAATGTATTTTCAACAAGATTTATTAAAATATTTGAAGCTTGAAAATGTATTTTCAACAAGATTTATTAAAATATTTGAAGCTTGAAAATGTATTTTCAACAAGATTTATTAAAATATTTGAAGCTTGAAAATGTATTTTCAACAAGATTTATTAAAATATTTGAAGCTTGAAAATGTATTTTCAACAAGATTTATTAAAATATTTGAAGCTTGAAAATGTATTTTCAACAAGATTTATTAAAATATTTGAAGCTTGAAAATGTATTTTCAACAAGATTTATTAAAATATTTGAAGCTTGAAAATGTATTTTCAACAAGATTTATTAAAATATTTGAAGCTTGAAAATGTATTTTCAACAAGATTTATTAAAATATTTGAAGCTTGAAAATGTATTTTCAACAAGATTTATTAAAATATTTGAAGCTTGAAAATGTATTTTCAACAAGATTTATTAAAATATTTGAAGCTTGAAAATGTATTTTCAACAAGATTTATTAAAATATTTGAAACTCGAAAATGTATTTTCAACAAGATTTATTAAAATATTTGAAACTCGAAAATTTATTTATGTGTAAAAGTGATAACTTTATTTATTTTTGTTGATGAAGTTTGACAAAGTCAAAATTTATTTTAAAAGGGCTAGAAAAAATATGCAAAATATACATTTTTGCAAGTTCCTTATAATAACTGCTTTTTAATTGAAAAAAAAAACTGTCTAGTTATCTTTTGCACAAAGTTTTTAAATTTTTGAAAAGTCCATAAAACTTTGGGCTCCTTGAATACTCCTTGGATTTCTTCTTCTGATCTCTGTATGGACCCTGAAATCAGGAGTATTTAGTCAAAAAGTATCTGAAGTATTGCCTTGTTCTGAATAGGTAGAGTGATACGTGATATGAAGATGACAGATCAGAAAAGAGTTTTTAGTTTTTATCAAATGTTAGTTTTTCTCCTCTGTTCTCCCTTTGCAGAGCTCATTAAAAAGTATTTATTTTAAAAAATCAACCCTAATAATTTCTTAAAGATTTGATAAAAGAAATATTCACTTATATAAAGATTAATTGTCCGCATGTACGTCTACTCAGCTTAGTTCGGTGAGATTATTGCACTCTCGTGCAAATCTGCTGCTTTTTGCAAGATATTCTCAATTTCAGGTTTCATTTTCCACCCTCTGATATTGAACCAAAAAATCTCTTTATCATTTTATAATGGCTAATATAATCAAGAAAAGAGTTCTTTCGCAGAAACTAGTTATTTTATCATGATCATGTAAAGTCTAAAAATTATTTTGTATATAATGTTTAAAAATAATTTTTGAGTACTTAAAAAGTACTCAAAAGGTGCTTATTTTTTGTTGAAAGATTTGGCCACGCACCCTGTTTAAGGTTGACAAATGTATATCCTTCTTAAATGTTTAGTTTTGTGTAATTTCTCCTTTTCTGTTTATTTTCTTAATTTTCTCACTCTTTTTTTCAGACAGTTTCTACCAGTTAATTTTAATTATTATTTTAGCGTGTTGCACATACAACCGAATGAAACTCACGTAACATTAAACTTTACACTTTATCCAATCATTTACCTCACTAATTTTCGTTTTACAAGCTTTAAAAAAGTGACTAAAAGTGACTAAAGTGACTAAAAGTGACTAAAAACGATGACTAAATTAATATTCCATTTGCTACTTATTTTCAGAAGGGAATCTGGGAAGATCTTTGTGAAGATAGACTGCAGTTTCTCAATGACAGTCCATCAAGCCCTCTCTCTCCAAAAAACTCTGAAACAATGGAAGATGAATTATCATTAGAGTCCACTCCGTCCTCACAGAAGCCCTACTTAGCCAGCTACATATATAAGCGTGCATCAGGATCCAACAACAGAAAGTTCTCTCCCATCAAATCTGGACCAGGCAAGAGTCCCGCATAACGCTAAAAAAAATTAGTTTGTGTTTTTTTTTATTTTATCTTTTGCATCTCTGCATTTGCGACTAGAGAATCAATTCTCTCTTATGCTGTTGTGTGGTGATTCTCAATGAGTTTTTAGAAGAATTTCATTACTTCTGACAGTTCATGTCGCATACATTATACATCCACTGACTTAATTTGCATTTAATGTGTAAAAAAATTTAAAAAATCTATAGCATACCTGTCTTTTAATATGATTATTAGATGTTATCACCTGGACCCTTTATTGATGACTTGAAAATTTCAAAAATGTGATAACTTTTAATTTGTATTATAAAATTAACAGGAAAAAAAGCAAATTCACTTGAAATTGTATCATAAATTGCCCAATTTTCCTCCCTGTATCAAAAGGTGATTCTTTTCAACCCCTGATTTTGATTTATTACTTGTTTAGAGGTTTTTAATTTTAAAAAACGACTAATGTATGAAAAGAAATGCTTTTATTTTATCGTTAAAAATTTACTTTTTTTTCCTAATATTACCAATATGATTTTTTTTAATCCATTTTTTGTAAAGATGCTACTAAAGGTTTCCTAATGAATTATTATTTTTAAAAAATAGGATTTTGCTTTTTCCATTTCTATCGCAGTTTTTTAATGTTATCTTTTTTATATCATTAAAATAGTGTCCAATTCCGGTTAAATTTAACTTTAAATTTAGATGTTAGAAGAATAAATATTTTATAAAAGAATGAGATATTTGTGTAGAAATTTTTTAAGAGCTTTATTTTGATTTTTTTTACTGTAAATAATTACCTATTTTAGTATTGCCAATTTTTGTATAGTGTGTAGTAAATTTTTTTTTTGTTAAATTATGACAGGTATGCTGGAAAAAATTGCTCTCTTTCTTATAAAAGAAAATATATATATATTTAACATGTACTCTATATACTGTTTCCCAATAGTTAATTTCCATGTTTTTGACAGTAAGAACTGGAAAAACAAACATTAAATTTTATTTTTATCTAATGGTTTTTCATAAAAATGTACATACTGTTTGCACAAAATTAATACTAATTGACATTTTATGTTATATTTTTAATCCTTCCATTTTTTGCATTTACTCTCCATTCATTATCTCTTCCATTTTAACCCCAGTTTCAGTACTACTATTACATACATCAAGCAAAAAAGGATTCTTCTTTATGAAGTAATTAATGTGTTTTGTTTAAAAGTCTGATATAAGTTTGTCATCCAATATTTCTAGATTTAGCCATTTTCTTCTAGCCTTTTAATTTTAACATTTTATAGGTTTCTGTGCCATCAAAGTATTTTTTAATTTCGCTAATTACTCAATTTAATTGCTCAGAAGCTTTTACGCATTGCTTATGGAAACAGCCTGTGGTTCTATTCTTGCTGTATCAACCTTGAGCAAAAGATTATGTGAGCCCCAGGAATCTCAACACATTGTGATCAATAATTTTCTCCCTTTTATCAAAAATACAGCAAAAAAAATTTTTTTTTTTAATGGCAGGCACTTGGTTGTTGTCCCGTTGGCCACAGGAATGCCAGAACTGCTACTCTCTTCTCGACAAAAATTAACTTTGCTATAAATATAGAAACCAGTCCTGTTTTTTTTTTTTTTTTTTTTTTTTTTTTTTTTTTTTTTTTTTTTGTATATTTTGTAAAGCCTCATTTCACTTCAGGCATTTTTTGACAGTTTGATTTTCATCATATTTTCACCTGCATTAATTATTATCCATTTTAACATTTCTTTTTTCCTTTAATTTTATTGTTATCAAATTGATAATGATTTAAATTTCTTTCCTAAGATTGAGAGCTTTATCACATGGAATATTTTTCTTATTGATCAAGCAAACGCACAAGCATAAATATTTGTGACAAAGACCTACAAGTCTTGAGTGTTTTTTTTTTGTTTTTTTCGTATCAGTCTATTCTTAAGTTCAGTTTTTCAGATTGTTTTCTAACAGGAAATTCAGTTCTATCTTTTTTTAAAATGTTTTTTTAGGATTCAATCATTATTTTTAATTTTCACTGCTCACTTTAAATATTGTGCTATTAATAATTCTAATGCTATTAATATAAAAAAGACTAAGTAAGTGCAACAACAGCTAAGTTGATGACATTAAGTATCGTTAATTGTTCAAGAGCAATTGGCAGAATTATTTCTCTTTCTGATCGTATTTATTTTTAAATGCTTATACATATGTGATTAGTATACTTAGTATTATAGAAATTGATTTCTCATTATCGTTGTGAATTTTGTTGTATAAACATCTAAGTGTAAGTTCACAGAACAATTTTGCGTTATGAGCTTAGGTGAGTTGTTTTACTAATGTTATTTTTTTTCTTTGCTGTAATAAAATGATCACTTTTAATTAAAGTTATCAAGTGTTCAGTTTTGTATGAAAGTATTAAGAAAATAATGAATTTAGTATATTTATCTAATTATTCCTATTTTATCTCAAGGAATCATTGGTTTCATTACAATGAATTGGGGAAGGTAAAAGGTTTACTGCAAATCGAAATTTGAATATCATGTCTTCTTCAATTTCGGGGAAAATCTTATTATATAAATGCTAGAAATTTTGATGCGAATATTTCACTTGTAGCACAATTAATGTCTATTTCTGCATTTTTTGGAAACAAACTTTTTTTTGCCTAAACCCACAAACTCTATATAAACTTGAAACATTAAAAAATAAATTGTGAAGCAAATTTTTTATTTTTTTTTTCTCTCCAAAATTTAAGGATTTTCAAAAATTTTTCAACTGAAATATTTTTCCTTTTAATTTGTTATTTTAAGTTAACTGCTTGTTCTCTTCTGATATATAAATGGTATTAAAATTGAATCTATATTCTGCACCATCTTGTAAAATATCTATAGCTCAGTATATAAAATTTTTAAGATTTTTATTCCTTTTTAGCAAATAATCACAAGTGTTTTTTTTATTACTTAGAAATCTATTAATTTTAATGCATAAGGACATAATAAAAGATTACAAAATAGTGTATGCCACCTAAAAATGTTTTTATAATGGTGTTTGGTGTATTAACATTTTTTTTTCCCTTAGCAAAGAGTATTGTATCAAGACTAAATAATTATATTTTTAAATCTAGTTAGTTTTTAATCTGAAACTAAATAAGTTTAAAAAAAATTGGTACTGAAAACCTTGGTTTGATTTAGCTTATATAAAGGCCACTTTAGAATAATTTACATAGAATACCTACATTGTTGTCTAAACACTAAAAATTCAACTGTGCTGAAAATTTTTATTTAAAAACATTATCTGTAATTAATACTTTCCGAGTGGTATGTGATAAAAATAAATCATAAGTTTTAAGACAAGTCTTGCTAGAAAATTGTAATTTTATTTATCTTTATGTGTAACTTAAGCTTTATATAGATTTAAGGAGAAAAATAAAGCTAATAATTGTATAAACATCGCTTGAATTAATATTGTTAACAATAGTTCATGTAATTTCGGTTCTTAAAAGTTTGTTTTAAATTTTAGAACAAAGCAATAATTTTTCTGCTTCCTCTCCTCTCTACTAAGTATAGTAGCTTCCTCTGGGTCGTATTGCACACTACAATTTAACTTAACTAATATACAGGGTATCTGCACACCTGTAAAGTCCATGAGAAATCATGGAAAGTCATGGATTTAGGTTGCCGAAAAATCTAATTTTTAAAATGGAATCCCCCCTCCATTTCATGGTGTTCCGAATGTCTGAGTTTGTAAGTAAATCCCCACGCACAGTCATATTTTATTAAAATATGTTTTATCATGTTCTTTCAAAAAATGAAAGAAAAGACATCATTTCTAGAGCGAATTAGAAATTCAGATTTAAACTTCAGGAATTGATTTCATAATTATTGTTATTATTATTTTTTTTATCAATTTCAAATTCTAGTTGAAGCAAGCCCGTCAATGGTGAATTTTTTTTTTATTCCGAAATTAGCGCAGAAAAATCAGGAGTATTTCTTTCCTTTCCAAGAAAAGTATCTTTAGAATATAATTCTGCAAAAAAAAAAGAAAGGAAAAATTATTTGCTTTTGTATTTTTTTTCAGCTATTTTATTGCTTTAACTCTTTCTTTACTCTGTTTTTTTTTTTAAATTTAAGATCTATGAAGATGCAGAGTATAACAGTTTTGGTTATACATAGCATTTCTATAAATGTTATTAAAATGCTTTTTTTAATTTTTTGTGTTTTTATGGGAGAAAACAGTAACTTCAATAAGTCATGAAAAATTCTTGGAAGTAGTCATGAAAGGTCATGAATTTGAAAAATCTAAAATGTAGCAGATACCCTGAATATATATTACTAATTGTTTTTTAAAAAATCAATTTCCTTTTTAGAAAATTTCAATGGTGAAAGTACTTTTCCAATTAATATGTGTTTATACATAAAGCATTTATGCACAATTTTGATGATCAAAGCTTTGTTTTCTTTTAACAGGGGAAATATTGAAACTAGAAATAGTTACTAGTCGTTTTTTGTTACCCGGTATTTATAACCTATCTTATAGAAAACTAGCGTGTAATGTAATGTAGAGCTTTTGTTCACTCTCACTACTGAGTGTAATATCCTGTTATAAAAAATAAGTATCATTTTACTGTTGATTGAATTTGGAAAACAGCTACAATAATTTGTTAATTTACAGCATAGAAATTTTTCCATATTGTTTAGTTCTCCGAAAAGGGATTATTTTATTTATTAAAGACTATTTTTATTATTATTTGTTGAGATATTTTTATTAATCGAAAACATATAATTTTGAATCTTACTATGAAGTGTACCTAAAATATTGCATGTACGCAATTAATTTTTTTTTTCAGTTTTCTCTTTTGTTTATTGCACAATTTTAATGTATTGTGTGGAGAAATTTGACCTCTCAAAATTATTTAATTCAAATTTTTGTGTCTCCCAATTTTAAACTACTGAGAAAAGGGTATATATCAATATTCTCAGCCTGGTTATGTTGCCATATTTCTCAGTTTTAAGTAAATCAAAGTCTGTTACGCAGTTGTAAATTTTGAACTCTTGGAGTTTTCCATATTTGTAAAAAATTTTCCCAGTGTTATTTATTGTATTTATTTTAGAAGCAAAATATCAAACTATTCAATGCTATAACTTTACTTTTGCTTTTAATCACTTCATTTGTAGATAAAAACCAATGAACATAAAACTCATCAGTATTTTTCACCACATAAAAGCTTCTGTAAATAAAGTAATCTCATCAAAAATTCACTTTGTAAATACATATTTTATAAAGAAAAATCGTGACTTGTGATTTATGTATAATTTATCCAAATTGTATTTTGAATATGAGTGTGTATCGTCTTTTCAATTGTCTTTTCTCTCCTGGCTTTTATTTTCCCTAGAAAGGAGCTGCCCTTATATGTATATTATACATATTGTTATTCATTTTAAATATTATGAATAAAATATGTGACGCTAATATTAATTTATATTGAATATATTAAATGCACTCATAAACTCATTAGGAATATATCTCTGTTTAGCATAACGGTCTAATACAGTAAACCTAATGGTCTAACACAGTTTTCCTTTGTTTGCTGTGCATTTTTATTGGTCGGAAAATCACATAGTAGGATCCAGTTTTCCCACATTGATTTCAAAGTTGTTTTGGCTGTCATCAGCATAAATCTCATAAAGGTATTATTTTCCCATAAGTATATATGGATTCCTAATTTAAAGGTATTTAACTTTACTGCTATTATGTTTTTGATTTTGATTGTTTTCTAAATTTTAGAGTTTAAAACTAAATGAATTTTTATTTATCATTATAACTTAATTCTATATTACATTTTAGAATAAAGGTATTTAAATGGGTTTCTAATCTTATCCGTTTTATAATTATTTTTTGTGCAAAAAATATTTTGACTATTATAAATTACAGTTTAAAAAATTCATTAAATGATTTAGAATTTAACGATCTGCTGCATGCACAATGTGATGCATACAAAAATTGTATTTTATACATCCGTCCGTTTGGTTAGCGAAAATATTAAATTATGGTTGTGATTTCATCAAATTTGTTATAACAATCTAATTTTAATTTAAAAGGTTATTTTAAGAAGTGTTTCTTAAAAATCTCTTATGTTCACTAATATAATCGAATCATATGAGTAATATTTGGAAGTGGGGACACACGCATGTACAAACAGAATTCTTGGTGAATAATTTCAATTTTCATCTAAAAAACTGTTTTAGGCCAAGAAACTACAATTATTGTGAAACAATCATCAGGGTTTGTGAGCAGTAGCGATTATCTCCCTAGTACATTTTTAAGTTATTTATGTTCTATATTGAAGCACCTATTATTTCATCTCATCAGAATTCTTCTGATTACCAAAGTGTATTCCAATTTTTTTTGTATTTTTTAATACATATTTAGTATTTTCTTTCTCCCTTTTCAATAATATTCTATATTTATTAGTTCTCCCATAAAAATATTTTCTATATTCACTTTTATAATTTAGTATATTCTTTTTGTCATTTGCAGTGATTTCAATTGCTAAAAAGTCCTAAAAAAATTCTGTTTTAGTCTTGGTGCAAAATTCTAACATTTGCCTCACTAGAATAAGTGAAATATTGGTGTTAGTTTGTTTGAGTTATTTCGTGATCTGATTCAATATTTAATGTATGAAATGCAGGTCGTTTGAATGTTTTTGAGTACAGTTTATTTTGACCATCCATTTATGCTTCCGTGTTTGCTAAAAGCAAGCTTGTTGTATTATTGATGCAAGAAAAATATCATTAAGTTTAACTGAAAAGTCAATTTGTGAATTTCACTTTTTAGTTTGTTAAAAATAAGATTAAGGAAAAAGTTATTTCTATCTAATTTTGATTTTTCTAATAAAATATTCCAATGATCCGTTATTCCAATCCCAATTACTTTAGTTAATTGAGGTCCTGTGTGTGTTACAAAAAAAAAAAAGAGAGACTTAAATGCTTGAAAAACACTTCTCAAACTTCAAAATCCACTAATTTTGAGAAGTCTTCATTATTTATTGTTAAATGTTCTTGTAGTAATGTATAAAACTCAAAGAAACTTGGCATTTTTTGAAAACACAAAATTTTAAATGTGAAAAAATTCTCTCATTCAGAATTTTAAAGGAATGATAAAAAAGTTTATGGAGTCTTATACTTATTTTTTGAGGATTAATCCTATAATAACATTAGGATATGAAAGGCTACAAAATGAGTACACCACCAAAATATTATGTGCGGGCAGCCCCTGTCTTTTTATGTAAGTGCATTAATGTAAGACTGGTAAAGGGACCGTATTTATTCTGTTAAGTGTATAATCTTCACATTTCTTCAAAAACAACAAAAAAACTTATCTCTTCTTAATCGCCCTAGAATAGTAGATTCTGCTGTTTTTGCATGTTAAATTTCCTGCTTCTAAATTAGACGTTGCAAAAGGTTATTTTCAAAGTATATAAATTATAATAAATGTATTGGAGATAGAATAATAAAGATTTTATCTAGACTTATTTTAACCCTATATGGCTTAAATTTCTGCTTTAGTGGAGACTTAGAGGTAGTTTTAATACTTTTTCTTTTCTATTAGTAAAAATTCACATTAAAATGCATGCATGAAAAAAGAAATTTATGTTCCGAATATTTGGAAGAATTTTTTTTCCCCCCTTACAATTAGAGATGGAAATTGGTGCATGTATAAATCTGCATTGAATTTCCTTTAAAAAAAAAAAATAATAATAATAATAATTGAAACGAGTGAGAAATTTTTTTCTTCTTTCCATTATTTGATTTGTTAAGGGGAAATCATTTGTTCTAATATGAACATTAGCCAACTTTCCAACTCTATTCCTAATAATTATTTTTGAGTAATTACTTGTTAAAAATGTGTCATTAACATTTGATTTTAATTTAATATTTATAAAGCAAAAGTAATTTAATTGTCCAGTAATTAGCCAACATTTACATAAGTTTATTCTCTATTTTATTTTATTGACATCTACAAAAAAAATCATAATTCATTTTCCTTTACATTTGAAATGTTAAATCAGAATCATTGCTTCATCTTCTGTAAAATATATCATGTAAGCATTTGAATAAAATTAACGAATAAAATTTACAATTGTTTTTAAAGTCATATTTATGTTCCTTTTTTTACACCATTTTTGTATTTATAAACAAATGATCTCTTTTTATTATCCCCATTTGTTATGTTTATTATAACATTTATTGTGATATTGCAATATACCATGTGTGAAATCTCATAAATGCATATTTTTGATGAATTTATAGAAGAAGAAAAAAAAAGTTGTGTTACATTTTAATCCGTTTAAAAATTCATGTGTTTAAATCAAGTGACTGTCTTTTGCAAAAGTGAAAGAAAAAAAATTGTGACATCCAACAAATTTGTAACATTTTGAGTGTTAATCTTCTACTTTTTTTTTTTTTTTTTTTNTTCTTTTTTTTTTTTTTTTTTGACTCATTAGGCTTTTATTGAAGTTGCATCGTGTAAATATTGTGTAATAATGAACTGTAATCCAATAAATTTTTTTATCTTTTCTGTAATTATCGTACTCTGTCTCTCATTTCTCTAGTTTATGCTTTTAACATTAAAGTATAACGTAATCC